TGGCTCCGCCGTCCCCCTCCCTCTCCCGCAAGGCCCGGACCTCTCCGATTGCAGTGGGCATACGTGCGCCGGGATGCGTTTGTGTGCTTGTGCGTGTGCCTGTGTGCGCGCGCTCATGTGTGTGCATGTGGACTTCCGTGTGTCCCTGTGTGACAGGGTGGCCCCCATCTCGGCCTCCGAGTTCCTTCTTCTGAGTCCCGTCGCGCTACCCACTGACATCCCTCTGGGGCGACTCCCCGACTTCTTCCAGGTCTTAGCTCCCAAGCCCCATGTGGCAGCTTTCCTTACCTGCTGCCTCCTGCGCTCCCCGCCCCCACCAGGGCCCTGCCATTCTCACTCCAGGCCCCTCCTGTTGCATCAGCTCTCCGCTCAAATCCTCGATCCCATGTCATCTCACCCCTCCTGCCCGCCCCATCCTACTGCCTGGGGAGCCCCTTCCTCTCGGCCTCCCTTTCTAAACCCACCTGCTCCTCTGCCCCCAAGGCCTTCTCCCCTTCCCCCCAGCCTGGCTGGGAAGTCTCAAGGCTCCTCTCCTGGTTCCTGGAACTTCTCCAGCACCTTCCCAGCCTTCGCCCGCCTCTGCGGGGTTGTTTAACGGCTGCCTCTGTGTGCTCAACCTGCACCACACACTGGAATCCCCAGCGGCTCTTCTTTAACAAGGTAGGAAGGGGAGCACCTCAGGGAGTGCAAGTGCAGGCATTGGGGGCGTTTTAAAAGCTCCCCAGGTCATTCTAATGTGCAGCCCCGGGGAGAGACATGGCGCTGGAGGAACATCATTGCAGAGGAAAGGGATGTCACCAACAGTCCTTGTCCAGCCCCCTGCTCGCCTGGCATGTGCAGGCTCCCGTGCCCTCACCACCCACCCTCCTCTGGCATTTGGGAACCTCCTCCCTCTCCTCAGAGCTGGGGACTTGGCTCTCCCCTGGGTGCCCCATTACCTCCCTGGGCCCTGACATCTACTTTCCCTGTCATTCCACAAATATTTTTTTAATGTATGTTTCTTGATCTCAGAGAGGAAGGGAGAGGGAGAGAGAGGTAGAAACATCACTGATGAGAATCATGGAGCAGCTGCCTCCTGCACGCCCCCCCCCCCTACTGGGGATCAAGCCTGCAACCTGAGCATGTGCCCTTGACCAGAATCGAACCTGGGGCCTTCCAGTCTGCAGTCCAATGCTCTATCCACTGAGCAAACCCAGCCAGGGCTCCACAAATATTTATGGAGCCTCTGCTGAGCCAGCTCTGTGCTCAGCCACTGGGAAAAACACGGAAAAGGCAAAGTCCTGTCCTTCCGGGCACAGCGGAGAGCCCGGTTCTCAGTGCCCCACTCACAGGAAGGGCCGCCACGCCGCTTCACTCGGGAACTGAACGGGCACCCACGCTGTCCAGGCGCCATGCAGGACCTGGGGGCAGGGCGGTGATCGGAAGCGTGCCTCCTCCACAGCCACCTGCTGTCTGCAGACCCTCCCATGCCCAGCCATCTCTCTAGCAGCGTGTTTGTACCCCCTCACCTTCACCCATCGCACTGACCTCGACTGCTGGGGCTTCCAGCTACCACGTCTTGAGCACCTGTGGTTTGCTACCTGCCCGAGGCACAGAGCGCGGAGTTCAAACGCCTACTCCTTCAGGAACGCATGCGAACCCCGTGTGGGGGCTGGCGCAGGGCGCTCTGCCTGGCGAGGTCATTTCCTGCCCCTTTGAGGAAGTCTCTGGGGCAGAGCAGCACAGACCTGCAGCCAGGGGCCCCCAAGCTGCCCAATGGGAGTCTGGGTTTGTGCTGAGGAGCCCCAGATTTCCAAAAGACAATGAGCAGAGATCATAGGGGGAAGGGGAGGGGTGGTTCCAGGAGCACAGGGAGGAGAAAAGAATTAAAACAGTGAAGGAGGATTTTCTAAAACCAGGGTAGCCCCAGCCGGTTTGGCTCAGTGGATAGAGCGGTGGCCTGTGGACTGAAGGGTCCCCGGTTCGATTCCAGTCAAGGGCATGTACCTTGGTTGCAGGCTTGATCCCTGGCCCTGGTTGGGGCGAATGCAGGAGGCAACCAATCGATGTGTCTCTCTCACATCGATGTTTCTCTCTGTCTCTCCCCCTCCCTTCCACTCTCTCTAAAAATCAATGGGAAAGTATCCTCCCGTGAGAATTAAAAGATAATAATAAAATAAAATAAAACCCGGGTGAGAAGGGGACCCTTGCAGAGGGAAAAGTGGTGTGGACTGTGCCCGCGGACCCCACACTCCCTCTCCTAGGCCCCATCCAGCCAGCTCCTTCCTGTTGGGATGGATTGTGGCTTCTCCCACCGAGGGCTGCATGCAGCCGTTTCTGTGTGGCGATGCTCCAGGAAAGACTGGCTTCGGGACAACCCTGGTGTGCACCCAGGTGTAGGATGCTCGCTCAATGGAGTGGCCCCCCACCCTGGGTACTGAGAGGCGCCCACACCTCAGGTCCCAGCCCAGGCCGGTGGAGGCATCGAAAGCTCTTGGAGCCCGATGCAGGCACGGTTGCACTGAGCTGTTTAATTACTTCTTTCTCACTGGTCAGCAATGGAATTAGATCGCATAGTACATGTGCATGTGCTGCAAATACACCACAGGTGAGACAGTTTTCTGGACGAATGTCCCCCAGAAAATTATATTTAGCAACACCTCCGCTTTTATCCTAGGATGTTTGAACTGAAAGGACCAGGGGGGTCAGCGGTTCCCAACCCTCTTCCTCAGAACGTGTGAGTACGCTGGGCGGAGGGAGACGCAAGGGGCAGCTGGAGTTCAGGGGGAAGAACATCTATTTCAGCACCTGGGGGCTGTGGTCCCTGGGCGGCTACCCCACCTCTTTGTGCATCTACCTCCTCCATGTGCCCACAGAGGACGTGGGGGAGTGGAACCATCAAACTTTTATTTGTTTGTTTTTAATGTATTTTTACTTGATTTCAGAGAGGAAGGGAGGAGAGAGAGAGAGAAACATCAATGAGGAGAGAGAGTCATTGATCAGCTGGCGCCTGCACACCTCACACTGGGGATGGAGCCCGCAACCTGGGCCGTGCCCTGGCCGGGAATTGAACCGTGACCTCCTGGTTCATAGGTCGACGCTCAGCCACTGAGCCACACAGCCGGGCTGGTTAATACGTATTGAACAAATCTTTGTAGCACATCCACAGAGGGACCTACTTACTGGCCTGCTCCTGCGGCCCTTGCCTGGCCCCCAGCACCTGCCCCGTTTTCTCAGCTGCCCTCTCCAGTTCTCCCTATCCATGCTTGGCTGTCACCTGGAACCACCTCGCTCACAGGTCCTGCCCGACTACACCTGCCATCGCTCCTGTCGCCGCCAAGTTGCCCACGCCTTCCCGTGTGGCCATGGAGATGGCCTCGCACGTGTCCAGACTCCTCTCCGCCCAGTCACCGGGTTACTCACCGCTTTCCCTTAATACACCCTCACGCCTTCATCTCTGAATCTCTGGCCAGGCTTTGTTCTCCTTCTAGAAAGCCCTCCACACTCCCTTCACCTATGGAGATCTCACTCCTCAGGGGAGCCCCAGGCTCGTGGGCCACCCACCCCAGCTCCTCACTGCCCGTCCCTCCTCCTAAGGGGCGGCATGTCTGTGGGACTTGCATTGACCATGAATGGGGAGTGGGAGTGATCTGTGTCACATCCGGATGGAAACGTTAACAGCCAGCCTGTCATTCACCCCACACTCCTCGCGCCTGCCACAGCCACTAGCCACACTCGGATGGCATGGCGGCGGCTCCATCCGCCGGGACCTGGAGGGAGGAAACCTGGGCAGAGTCCCTGCTGACCCCAGAAGGACCTGGGACCTGGGGAAGAAAGAAACCGTGCTGCCCTAGGGTTCAGAGGGTTTTGTGGGGGCAGCCTGACCCGCCCGATCCTGCCTGAGTCACTGTCCCAGGCCAGGCCCCAGGTCATCTCCTGCAGGAAATCCCCCTGGTTCTCCGCCAGCTGCATTCATCTTGTTTTCTTTCAATACCTCGTTGTCAGCATTTACAATCCATCATGCACTGCGTGAGGTGCTAAGAATTAAAAAATGGCACGACTGTCCAGCCGGCGTGGCTCTCTGGTTGAGCATCGACTTATGAACCAGGAGGTCACGGTCTGATTCCTGGTCAGGGCAGAGGCCCAGGCTGTAGGCTTGATCCCCAGTGTGGGGGCGTGCAGGAGGCAGCCGATCAATGATTGTCTCTCATCATTGATGTTTCTGTCCCATTATTGGTGTTTCTATCTCTCTCTCCCTCTCCCTTCCTCTCTCGGAAATAAGTTTTTTTTTAAGGCATGACCACCTAACTGCCATTGTTGCAAATGTTAAGTAAGAAGATCAGGTCCTAGGGGACCCTATGACCCAAACTCTAACCAATCCTAGAGGGTATGGAAAGGCCTCCTGAAAAGAGATATTGGAAGCAGGGAGCATTTAGATTAGGCACGAGGTTAGATGAGGGTGAGCGTGACCTCGCTGAGTTCTGATCCCCAGCGCACTGCATGCTGTCCTGTCTATTAGTGAGAACTCTGCCGTGTGTGTGTGGCACAGATACAATTCCAAATGGCTTAAGCAATAAAAGGCAAGGCATACCTAGAGGCTCACGCCGCAGTGAAGTCCAGAGGAGGATGGCTTCAGGCGCAGCTGGATCCAGGGCCTGGTGTCCCGGGCCTCCGTCTCTCTAGCTGTCCGTCTCTCCCAGATAAGTTTCACTCCGCGTTGGCTTTGTTCTCAGCTCTCCTTTCAAGATTAAATCAGAAGGCCGGCAGGTCACCCCAGGGCAGTTAGCGAGAGACTCCTCATCTCTGAGGGCAGAGCCCGAGGAAATGTCCCTCATTTTCTCCGAGAGGCTGTGCGAGAGGCTGTGCGTGGGCGCTTTGAGGAGCCCGCAGGCCGGCCTGACAGCCTCCCATTGGGAAATCACTGGCCCCTCATGGCC